AGGTCAGGGTCAAAGTACAGAATGCGTGTTTGCAACATAGAGCCTCGTGTGAGCAGTCACAAACCCCCACAAAGCCCTGTCCTTTTTGCTTATGCTACATATCGAATATCCTAGCCATCCTATTTTTCACGTGAAAAGTATCAGTATTGACAAAAGGACACGATTATTGGAACATTGAGGGATGCTGGGCAGGAGGCCGTGTGTTAACATGGAGCGCAAATATAGTCTGGCCTCATCTATATGGTAGTTTCCCTGAATAAGAGAGCCCCAATACAGACCCCCAAATCCTGTAATGTTTTTGTAAGGACACCGCAGAAGGTACCCCAAATTTGGCAAACCCCCTTATACACATATCTCTCTCTCTGTCCATACGTATGCAAAAGCGGTAGGGTATGGTAATCCGCCTACCTAGGGTTGTGCAAGTTTTTGGCTTCGGTTCCAAGAACTTTGCAGCAGTGTTTTTTTGCAAGCGCCATACCATGTCTTCTGCGACCATGCTTGCTGTCCTGGCACTTGGATTTGTCGGGGCAGAAACGGATTTTCCTACGACCCTCCCGGATGACAACCAGGGCCCCGGAGGTGCCTGTATGTGTCTAGGTTGCTGTTAAGGAAACTTGAAGTAAGTTACCACAACAATGAAAAAGTTAAGGAAACTTAAAGTAAGTTACCACAACAATGGCAAATAAAATGGAAACTGCTGTTTAAGGTTCAGGGTTTTTGAGTTACCATTATGAGTACATGTAGCAATTGAAATGGTTTCTCTGATATAGTAACTTAAACTAAGTTCCTTAACAGCAACCCAGGTTTCTGCAGTTTCGTGGCAGACGCGAAAGCACGGTCGAAGAGGGCTCGGAGAGATGTTTTGGGGAGGTTAACAGCCTTACGCCATTCGATTTTAAGCTGAGCTCCCGGCAGCTCCAGAAGATACTGGGTTGCTGTTAAGAACTTAATTTAAGTCACTGTATTGGGGAAACCATAGTTTTTACTATGTACACCCATAATGGTAACTTGACTTAAGTTGCTTAACAGCATCCCAGGATAGGCATGTTCACAGAGGCTGCGCAGCGCTTGGGTGGTCCGGACAAGCTCCTGGCGGATGTTACGCACTGCCAGGAGCTTGTGCAGAAAATCCTGGTTTCGGCTTCGAACGGCACAGAGGCCGCCTGTGGCCCAACCGTCAGCTGGCTAGCTGAGCTCCATTTGGGAGTGGATGCATGGGTATCTTTGAACATGGTTTTCATTTGTTCTTATTATCAAACCCTATCATACCCCCATAGAAAGGTTTTCAATACATAACTTACAGCCCCTACATACCTATTTAATCAGCTATAAAAGACTTTCATAGGGCTCCCTCACCAACCCTAGGATGGGGAGATGCAGCTGGGAATCCCTGGGCCCTCGTGGCCTCTGTGGCAGACGCAGAAGGATGTCCTGGGCAACTTTTCGGAGAAGCTTGCTGTTTGCTATACTGGAAGGGTCCAAGGACTCAAATAATGGGGTTTTATGCAAATAGTATCATCTGAATGGTATTTGGGACCCGAATCCTATTTGGGACCTGAAGACCTAATATTTGGGTCCTTGGACCCTCAGGATTAGTAGGAAGTATGGGAACATAATCCCTATTTAGCCCTATACAGTATGTTCCACTATATCCCACCCACCTCTGCAAAGAAGCACTAAGGAAGAGAGACTCCAAGGACGCGATCTTTTGGTACATGATGACTTCTGGAAGCCACACACAGCATGTTTGGGCAGTGCTGCAGTACCCCGCGGATCCCCAAAAAGGTCTGCCTGTTCGGCATCTTGCTCCTTGTTCCTTTTGTTTTGGTTTTAGGGTTTAGGGTTTGGGGTTTAGGATTGGGTTTTAGGGATTAGGGTTTAGAATCAGGAAATACCATAGCACACAATTTTGCAAGTAAAGCCAATGTCTCTGATCTGTAGTCATAGATTTCCACCTTGGGTATTTGCACCTTGCTCAGAATCATGTATGAACCTCCAAGTCACCAACCCCCTCCAAGTCACCAACCTCACACCTTACGGAAGCTCAAGTCCCTAAGACCTTCTGTGGGAGCCCAAATGAGTTAGAATATGTCCCATGAAGATTCTCATGCAGGAGTTTCTCAAACCAAGCAAATCCTATATCTCTATCCCTGGTGGGGACCCCATAGTCCAGCCGTGGTCCCTACATGTCTTTGGGGTCCTATGGGCCTGCCGTTTTGAGAAACCCCCGCCCCCGCCAATCTAGCTTGATAGGATATCCCCCAAGTGCCTGGATGGTCAAGGGGAATTCAGTCGATTAAAAATGGGGGCTTAGTATGTGGATTATAGGGCTTGCTAAAATACGTACTACGTCCCCCCTGACCCTAAACCCTAAACCTAAACCCACAATACCATACTAGGTTCCATTTTATTTTCCATTATTCCTAAGTCCCTCTGACTTTCCTAAACCCCACACCCTGAAAAGGTATCGGATACTGCAGAGCTGCTTCGATCAATACACCCTCAGCGCATGGCTGGATCCTAACCCGGACGAGGAACGCTTCATACGGAGCCTAAGACTTAGACTGGCCAAGGAGTTCCGTTTTAGATATTTTCTTTGCTAGGGAGGGGGGTGGCTGCCTACTGTTTTTGCTGTTGTTGGTTTGCTTGGGCTGGGTGCGGGGGTCGTACTTTAGGATTACGTAAGCATGCACATCACGGGAGCCTGTGTTTGAGGTCTGTGTTCTGGCCTTTGCTGCCACTTGTTGGGGACTGAAGCACCTTGAAATGGCCCCAGAAACTGTAGACACGGTTGTGGGAACTTAGCTTTTAGGCTAGAGGATAGGGGTCCCAGAGTACATGTAGCTACCAGGCAACGTTTTGGGAATTGCTCTTATGTCGATCTACCGGCTTTGTTGTAGGAGTATTGGCTGGCTACAGCTCAAAAGCCGAAGAAGACAACATGTTATAGCCCATATGAGCTATAGTCTAAACACCTAGTATCCCACCTAGTAGCCCCTATAATACTCCCCTGTATATCCCCTATACAACCCTCTTTAAGGAGTGTAGATCATAGTTTATATGTCAGAAGAGACGTGCACAAAGCAACTGGGCTTACGTGGAAACTGTGCTTTGCCCAGGACCCCCCAAAGCACCTTAAATGGGTTGCTGTTAAGGAGCTTAAGTTAAGTTACCATACTATGGATACCTAGTAAATAAAAGGGTTTCCTGATTATATTACCTGAGTTTGAATTCCTAACAGCAACCCAGTCAACTAGGGTCTATGTAGGTCGTAAATGTGGGTATTCTAAGAGAGTATTTGCCGTCTAGGGCATTGCCCGCTAAAGATACGTGTAAGTGTGCTTTTGTGAATGCGAGCTATAACCACTCGTCATCGCCAAGGGAACAGCCCCCTTCATAATCTGTGTGCTAGCACCGCCATGCACGTGTGTATTAGAATCAGTCATCTGCCGTACAGCCGATAAAGTATGGTCGGAAATTGTATCGCAACAGATAGCAATGAGGAAGCGGGACGTTTACGCCCCGAAGAACCGGACGCTGGAGAACGGGGGCGCCTGGGTGTATACTTGAAGACAAGGCTTACGGGGTTGTCCTCAGAAGGTCGTACAGTATCCCTTAAAGTGCTCCCCGAAAAGGATCAAAACCAAGGGATACAACCTTGGGGGTACATGGTTAAAGAAGTGTTCTGGACGAGATATGCCACCTGCTGCTTATACTTGCATGTTATATACAAACCCCCAAGTAGCGATGACGCTCTTAGGAGTAGCGTAGAAGCTCAGCTCCGTACGAATCATACATGTTTCCCGCATAGCAGAAGTGCGCTGAGGCCAGTACACTTTAATAAGGCGTATACCTTAAACTCGTCTCATGTCATACCTGAAGCCCTATAGTCCCTATGTACCTGGAACTCTAAACCCTGAACTGCAAACCCTCAAGTCCCATAACCTGAGCTATGAACTCTACAACCTATAATCCTAATCCAAATGCCTAAACCATAAACCCACCCTTTCAGCCCTCATCGCTCATCCCTGAAGCAAGGTCCAGGTTACTGGATCAAGATGCAGCGGCCGGAGAAGGAAGGCGGCTATGATTTCGCTGGGACGGGTCAGTGCATCATGCAGCCGAAACAGGAAGCTCAGATCACTGGGCGTAGGGCTTAGCCTTCGCGGCTTAGAGGTTTGGGTTTATCCTGCTTTAGGGTTTTTGTGTGTTTAGTGGGCTTTGGGTTTAGCGCTGAGTGTATTTGTATTTCATGGGCGCTCCCCATGCATACCTCTGCACACCCCAAAACGAAGCGGTTGTTATTATGCCGCGAAAGTTTTCAGAAGTCCACGTCCACTTGATGAAAAAAGCCTGGGCTCAAGCACAGTCAACCAGGCGCATGAAGTATCATTGGCCTGAGCCAGTAAGCAATAAGCATGTGTTTCCGTACCAGTTGCCCTACTTTAAAGGGTTCCTTGGGCTTATAAACCCCTATAAAAACCCATAAAACCCTGAACCCCCTAAAAACCCCTGTAAGTTGTTGGGGCTCTTGCCTTGACTGAACTATCAAACCTAAAGACGTCTTTGATGTCCGGGGCCCTGCCAGGAATATGCAAGAAGGAACAAATTTCGTAAGCCCCCTGGAGCCCTACATCCCCAACCCTTGCTGCGGAATGCTGCACAATTGTCCATACCATACACTCTAGGAACTACAGAGTCATGAGGCTGTTAAATGGTGCAAAATTTTCCTCATCCACCCACCCTAAACCCTAATCCCTGAACCCTACACCCCAAACCCCCGATCCCTGAACTCACAACCGCTGTTGGGCCAAGGAGTGGCCAGAGAAACTGAGGGAGTGGGTGGAGAGCAGCCTTAAGTACCTAGGCGGTTTGAGGGTGTCAGGGTTTAAGGATTGAGGGTTTCAGGTTTAGAGTTGAGGGTTCAAGGTTTAGAGTTGAAGGTGTAGGGTTTCAGGGATTAGGCTTTAAGGGTTGAACGGTAAACCGTTTAGGGGTACGGGCCGACTCAGGGGGCTCAGTGAGTAGGTTGTGAATGGGATATAAGCGCTTATGACTGGGTGTAGGGGTTAGGGTATTATGACCCTCTTTAGAACCTATGTCGCAGACCCTTCTCAAATCCCAAGCTGTACATGCATTTCCGTCGAGTCACCGAGCAGCTTAGGTACTCTGCCAAGGACGGTTTCCATTTGATTCCGGGTTCGGTGCTGCAGGTTGGCGGTTTGGAGGAATAGTTTAGGGCCTAGGCACCCTAAACCCCAAACCCTTGTTCCCTTTGTATTTTTGGGTTCCCCTTATTGAAGCTGAACTTGAGGAAAAAGGGTAGCCTTGCTATGAAGGGTTTACTGGGGAACCTAGAGGATTAGGGGTTTAGGGTTGATGTTGTCTAAGGGCCCAGGATTACACTACATCCTAAAGCTTCTGGGTTAAGGCCACCTTCCACTAGTTATGTGCAATACCCTGCCTTCCCGAGACCCTCAAACGAAACAACCTCAGCTATGGTACTGTCGTTTTCAAACACACTGGGCAGGGTCTATATGCATATAATACAGACTTTGCGTCTATGTTCAGTCGGAAGGATGCCTTTCGGGACTTGCAGAAGGCTGCTGCGCAGCACGGTCAGGGTCGGCTGCTGACTGCCCAGGAGATGTGCCCAAGCCGCCTATTTGTTAGCCTGGGGGTTCAGGGTCTGGGGGTCAAGGGTTTGGGGTTTAGAAAAACCCCACCCCCATGAGAACCCCCACCAACCCCTTCATGATTGGAGGTCCTAAGTAGGGGGAGGGCGACAGTACCCTGCCAAGCCAGGTCGGATTCTAATTACCCAGGCAAGGGATTCGTTATGTTGTGGGATTTTATTCAAGCCCCTCTTTTCTGGCCCTCAGTGCTTGAGGGGACTGCTGGCAAAACGTTTTGCCACATTTTATGCCCGTCAGCCCACCAAGGATTGCAGAAGTGCATCCATCCGTTTCCCAAAGTGACCTTCCTGTAGACAAACTTTGACTTAAATTCAGGTTAGGGTTCTTGATGGTCCGTATACATCCCATGCCAGGCCGTACAACAAGCAGAACTTTTAAGGCATGTTGCCTTGGAGTGCGTGTAACCATCTGATTGAGTCTGAACATTGTTCGTGCGACCGCAGGAGTCGAGTAATGCTTGCGATGATCATGTTATTTTATTTCTTCAAGGCCTTGTCCACATGCTCTAAGCCAGAACCTTCATGATCATCATATTGTGGTTTGAAGCCCTGTGGGGCATGGAAAGAGGACCCTTTAATCCTATACCCGCACTTTTTTTGAGATCTCCAGGTTTGCAAAAGGCGGCTACCTGGACAACCTCGGGTCTTGGCTACAGCGTGCGCACGAAGCAGCAACGTCCTTCCCTCTGGGAATGTGGACTCAGGCGCCCTGCCTGTTCTCGACGGAAAAACTTTTCAGGGGTGTTCCGGTGTTTGTAGGGGTTCTGGGGGAAAAAAGGCCATGCAGTGGTTATAGAGGGATTCTGGGGGTTGCGTTCAGAAAGCCCCTGAGCCGATCATAAGATGAGCAATAAGCAGTAGATCAGGCAAGAAATCTTAATGCTGTCAGACAAGTAACGTTCATCATTAGGCTCTGCCTCGAAATTGCAACAGCCATGGTGTTGATATTTTAGCTAATGATGTCTATGACGATGGGTATGTGTAATGCTGAGAAGGATAGCGATGGCGATGGGTCACGGTCAGGATGACGATGATCATGAGGGCGTGAAAACACATAGCTCCTTGCCACTAAGGTAGGACCTTAGACCCTTGATTGTTTGGGGTTCCCCTATACTCCTATTACAGGTACCTAAAGGTTAAGTTTTAGTCAGGGCGCTAAGTGCCATGGTGTCAGAAGCCCGCGACCAGAACAGGAACAGGATATTGAAAGCAATATATATACGTTTCAGGGCTTAGGGCTGTGGTTCTCGTTCTCGCTATAGTTAGTTTTCAGAAAACTGGTGTTGCGAGGATCATCACTATTGCGGCAAAGTAATGGCCAACATTCGGATCATAGTTGTCCAGCCAAGGCCTGGGTCTTTGGGAGTGTGTAGGCTAGCGCTGAACGAAAGCCCAAGCGCATGGCCGGCATGAGCGCTAGTCCGTTTAGCTGAGGCTTAGCGGCGCCCCTGATATTCATTCCCCCACTCCCTCTCAAGCACCAGTAAGCCAAGTGTTAGGAGCTTCATGATGACTTTATCAACCTCTTCGGCTTCCCTGTCCTGGACTTCTACCCTGGTGTCCCATACATTGGACAGTTCGGGGTCATGAGGAAACTGCAGCTTGGCGACACTAATATTGCTATATTATTACTGTTATTAAGTACTATTACCATTATTATTTGTACTGTTATGGTTGTATGTATTTCTATTGTCGCTATTATTGTTATTTCTATGATTATTATTAGCTTCAGAGGGCTAAGTTGGTCCTATCTCATTTTAGGAATCTTCAGTTCTCGGGGTCGGAATAAAAAGTGCATGAGACGTCTGCCTCAGCCGCAGCCCAGTACGCTGTTGGAGGTTTATGATTTCAGTCTTCGGTATGTTGAGTTCACGATATGTCTCACCCAAATATGGCTGCTTGTGCATATCCAAACTGCCCGAACGTGAACACCGAAAGTGTCCTCAAACCTCAGACACCAGAAGCTGAAGGTATGAGTCTGGGAGCCCATGGAACCTGGCAAGAGGCCGGATTCTCCCAACAAAAGGGTCTTAGGAATGGGTTTAGGGTTTAGGTAATGTCTCAACAGAACTTTTGGCAACTACCCAAGGGCTCCAATGTAGTTCCTTTCTGGTATGTTATGGTTTTTTGGTATGGGATTGTAATATACTACCCAAAACAGAGGCTTAGAAGCTAGGGACGGGAGATTCAGAGATTGAGGGAGGTCAAGGCCTAGGGACCGCAGAGTTCAGGGCTTAGTAACAGCACTCCCTAAAACGCGGCCGGGGGTTCAGGATTTTAGTAAAATGGAAACTTCTATTTCATATAGGGATTATCTAGGGGTTCTATAGGGATAATGGAAAAGAAAATGGAATCTTCAGCGATTACAGAGGGGTCATATTACAGAGGGGTCATATAGGGATTATGGGGTATCTCAGCACATCCCACCTTGTTGCAATTCAGACATCGCTACGAGGAAATGCAACTGGAAAATCTGCTTTGTCACTGTCGTAAATGATTTCTTGAGGTGTCCTGAAACCCTATAGCCATAAACCCTAAACCCTAAGCCGAACGTCTGGGATGGTTCCTTCCTTTAAGCTCCTGCAGAATTGCCCCCATGCAATCCTCGTAAAATCTTAGAATCCCCACAAGGACCCTGAGAACTTTCGCAAACTGACATGGGAATCGCAAACAATCTCTCACAACACTTCCGCCCTTTCAGAAAGAGCTAAAAAGGGGATTTCATGTTAATTTGGGGGAGGGTATCCAGGTAACGTTTATGCCCCCATACACATTTACCATGTTCTTTCCCATTTGATTCTTCATGACAACCCCAATTATTTGGGCTTATATGTTCTGCATATCAATATCCCTATGTGCCCCTCTGCATCCATATACGTCCCCAAACTTCTTCATATGCCCCTGTACATCCTGTGTAGCGCTACACATCCTTGGATATCCCCATATGTCCCTGTGCACCCCTGTATATATCCCAAAAACTTTTTTGCCTCCACATGAAGCCCCGTCAGGCAGCCAGGCGAAAGAGAGCGCCGAGTCCAGCCCTAAACTCCATGGACTCCTCGTGAAGTCGGCGATTGTCACGCAGGCCGAGTTCAGGCTTTTGACATGGATAGCAAAGGTAATTAGTAGTAGATACAATATTAGAAATAAAGCTGCCCGTAACAGTGCTAGCAGGGCGGGGAGGGGTGCTTAGGGTTTTAAGGTTCAGGGGGTTCAGGGGCCTTGGCGTGTAGCGGTTTACCTTGCCCAACACTGACATTGCAGACCCGTTTTGAGATTCCATGTTACTTTGCATGGTGACTATACATACATGTATTATATATACATACATGTATTACATATGTAGGTATGCAGCCGCCCTATAACATATCTGTATCCAGAACTGCTTCAAAACCCTAAACCCTCAACC